ACTACACTACTACTACTACTACTACTACTACGACTACTACTACACTACACTACTACTACTACTACTCTCTACTCTCTCTCTCTCTCTCTCTCTCTCTCTCTACTCTCTCTCTCTCTCTCTCTCTCTCTCTCTCTCTCTCTCTCTCTCTCTTACACAATTACATGCCCTTCTCTCTCTATATCTATTTTATCCAAATCCCTCGTTTTAAGGACACCAATTCTCAAACACATTCTCCTTCCTATACTCTACTCCTCTCTCTCTCTCTCTGAAGAGAGTCATGCACTTCTCTAAAACTTTGGTCTCCACATGAATATGCTCCCATCTCATATGGGTCAGGTGACATCATCTATCTTTTTCTCTCTTCTACCTAGTGACAAGTCCCACCATAACAAGATCTCAAGGTAACCCTTGATCTTAAGGAGCTCAAGGGAGCCTAGAAGGTAGAAGGTACCCAATATAATATGGAATGATTTCATTCACTGTCTCATTATAATATAATGAAATCGTTATTTCAAAAACTCATGTTCATAACATTTGCATGATCTTAAATTTTGCATATGCATTCTCTTCGTCCCAACAATCAACCTCAAAAAAAGGGAAATAAATTGAATTTGCTATTCAAAAATGTCAAAATGAGTTCCTCTCCAACAATGAGCCTAGACCGTCCATTTGGTGGACATTGGGATCAACGCCCTTAAGAAGTCAAAGTCATTTTGTTCTTTTTAAATTTCTTTGTCTATAGACGATAAGGATAAATATGGGGTAAGGAACCCTCTAAGTCCTAATTCTAATCATATGTTTTAAATGTGATGATGGTCATCAAAGCACAACAAGTAGCCACGAGTATCTTCTTTGGGAGTAACAGAATCCTCCTAATTTTCCCTTATATTTGGATGATGAAAACCCTAAGGGGACTTTTAATAAGAACAAGAAAAGTAAGAAATAGTTTCAAATTTTTTTTAAGTTTTTTAGGCTATTTCAGATTTTTTTTGTTATTTATTTCATTCCTAGACCAGTTAGGCACTTTTTAGATATTTTAATTAAGTTAGGGAGTTTATTCAAGTGGAAGGATTGAAAAGGGCAAGGGGTAGGTACAAAAGGAGTGATTGAAAGTAGTCCGAAATTATATGGGGACTTATGGCCTCACTGAGGGTATGACCTTAAACAGAGCAAAAAGGCGGACCAGGATTCGTGTAGTCGACCCCAATTAATTGGGAAAAGGCTATGATGATGATGATGATAAATTAAAGTTAGGGAGTTTAGTTTCAACTTATACTTTAAGTTAGGACCTTTTGATCAAAAGTTAATGGTATAGACAACTATTGTCCAAAACCATAAAATTTCAACATAATAAGAGAGTGGATGGGTTGAAGAGGCATTCACGTATTCCACTTTAAAGAAAAGAAAAGACTATGTCTTGGGAAAAGAAGTCAAAGGCTTGTGGCCTAGGTAGGAGAAATCCTTAGGGTTTGTAAAAAATTACATGTTTCATGGTGCTTTCTTGCTGATTTTCCATTGTTTCTTCAGGTTCTCTACACCAAATTGGTATCAGAGCCCACGCTCTACACGGATGGTACTGTAGCAATGTACGAAGTTACTGTGGCAGTGTATAGAAATTATTGTAGCAGTGTACGAAAGTTAATGTAGTAAAGTTTTTTTTTTCCCTAGATCAACAACAACGAGGGGAAGTTACAGTGGGGTCTATGGTTTTGCAGATGTTAGCCAAAGTTTAGCCAAAACAACATAAATCTTGCTGATTTCAGCAGTTTTCATTGATTAATTGCTTAGGGTTTGTGATTTTGACGAACCCATGGCAGTGAGAAGGGGTTTTCGTGGATCCCTTCCGAGATCTCAGAGATGAGAGAATTGAAGAACTTGACAGACAAGTTCAGCAACTGACACAACAATTCGCGAGCATTGTTAACCCATGGATTTAAATTCACTGCTAACCCATCTCTTTTCTTTTCCTTTCTTTTTTTTCTTTAGGGGTTTAAGTCCATGCCCCACCAAATATACAATGAGACAAAGAATGACAAGCATTTTACATAGTTCAGTAGATGATCATCAATAAGCACTTTATTGATCACCCACCAAACATGCTCTACATAATCCTCTACTTGTTATAGTAAATGATCAATAATAAGCATTTTGGTTATTGCAAGCATCCTAAATGAACATCTTACCCTGAGTTGGGGCTGCTACACAAACCTATTACCTTGAGGTGGGACTGCCACCCACTTCGTGATTTATAAATTAATAAATCTGTTAAGTAACTCGGCAGAGATTATTGTAAATGGATTCATCTCAAAAGTTTATTAAAGTTTTTTGGCTATCACAACATTACAGTTTCGAAACCCAAATCATAAGTATTTAACCTTGTAAAAATTGTAACATGATACAACAAGGGTTTTTGGAACTCCTCTGGTAACATAGAATTGATTCTTGAAAGTCCTCTGGTAACATGGAATCGGTTCCTGGAGCTCCTCCCGCAACATACAATTTGTGAATGTATTGCATTCAACATTTGCGTTTGAATCATGATACCAGGTCATTAGAACTTGATTCGATGTTGATCGAAACATTGTTTGGTGCATCAAAGAACTGAGCATCTTGATGATATAGAACTCGTTTCCAAACAACATGGATTTGCAATTCCTAAAAAATTGGAATCAGCGTCTCCCACACATTGAATCACATCGTTGTGAAACTATGAATCACAAATTCTATGATGCGTAATCTTGATTCCAACCTTCCAAAAATCGAGATTTAGAAAATATTCTAGAACGTGGTCCATGAAACTGGAAATGTGATTCCAATCTTCCAAATTCTTGTTTCATCCTGGGAACCGCGGACTCGCGATTCCAGTTCAGAATTATATCCTTAATACGCGATTCCGATACTTATATATAAAACTCTAGTTGCACATCCCCACTTCACCCACCCAACTCTAGTTATACGTGCAACAGCTTCCTCAATCTCTCAATTTTCCTAGATTATCGACTCAAGATATTAAAAGTGCACCCTTTTTGGTATTTCTTGGTCGTCAATCTTAACTACTTCATTGTCTCTACTGCTATTATTACTAATCGTGCATTCCATATACTATGTCTTAGTCCAGCTAGTTTTAAAACTTTTAGATTCTAGAGCATCTTTCCAAAGTTCTAACATTGTGTTGTCATTGTTTCAGGTCTCATTGATCAAAATTATATCATTTGTGAACAACAAGCACTACAGTACCTCATCTTGTAGGTGCCTAGTTAACTTATCCATAATTGAGACAAAGAGGTATGGGCTCAATGTTGACCCAGCATATAGACCTATTGTCACTCAAAACTTACTCGTCTCTTCAGTAGTTGTTCGTACACTACTTTACACTCCCTCGTACATATCTCTCACCAAGTCAATGTAGTGTCTGGAGGCTCCCTTCCTTCCCAACACCCACCAAGCCAAATCTTGAGGTACTTTATCATAAACTTTCTATAGACCAATAAAGACCATGTGGAGGTCTTTTCCCTTCGCACTAAACTTCTCAATTAATTGCCCAAGTAGGAAAATAGCCTCGGTTGTTGACCTCCTATGTATAAAACCTAATTGGTTTTCTGATACACTCATTTCATCCCTTAGTCATTGCTTAATTACTCACTCCAACAGCTTTATAGTGTGGTTCATAAGTTTGATCCCTCGATAGTTCACACAATTTTGTATGTCTCCTTTGTTCTTGTAAACCGCAGCACTTTTCCTCCATTCGTCTAGCATTTTCTTTATTCTCAACACCATATTGAACAACTTGGTCAACCATTCAATGTCAATCTCTCTCATGCACTTCTAAACCTCTATCAGAATCTGGTCCCAAAGCCTTTCCTATCTTCATCATCTTCAAAGCTTCTTTCACAAATATCCTAATTTTACGAATGTATCTAAAACCTCCACCCTCATTTTTGCTAATGATTTCTTCTACCGCTATATTCCTAATTTTTTTAAAATAAATTATCTATCTTTCACCAAGACT